GGTTACGCGTCAAGAGGCGGAAGTTATCGTGCCGGTTTGCTGATAAGGAGTCTGAACCTTATTTTGTGGCTGGAATGAGATCTGGTTTGGTGGTGGGGATAAGTGATTAATGGGATAGGGTATTAGAAGGTGTAAAAGAGTATCGGTATGTTAGAATTCGAACAGCGATAAGGATGGCACTCAGGTGGCACCTAGGGAGATGACTCGAATGTTGACATCAGAGCACAGTGACGTGCCGGGACGTGCGGGCGACCCGCGGTGCATATGTAAGATAAGGAATGGTAAGAGGCGCACTCCACGGAAGCCTCCCTCCGGGGATACCCCACTCATACTCCCCGGTTACTACTCAATATTACATTCTATTTGTTCCTTTTTCGGGGGCAATACGTATTGTCGCGTTGGATAACGTATTAGAGTGGACACAGTTTGCCATCGAATGTACCTCAGTGGTGGCCTAGGCTCGGGAAAACTCTAAGTGCATGACGTTAATTAATTTCGTGGCGCGTGGGGCGCATGTAGCCGCAGCAGCAGTGGAGCCGAGTTTATAGTACAGCGACACGTTTGCTGGTAATTAGCCTGGTCACGTGATGGACATTAACGATATCTGTGTGAAGGAGCTTAGACCACGTTTCGTGCGGAGGGGGATTGGAGGGGCGAAGCTTAAAGACGATACAGGTAATCCGAGAGATACACGTGTGTTGTTGAAGGCTGACGAGTACTACTGGGCTGGGTCGGACTATGGATTTTCAGTTTCAGCACGCCTACGGTCTATAGCTCCAGAGGCTAGACATTCACAGAACCAGCATTGATTTACAACCATGTACGTATGGTTTTTTTACCACGCGGTTAACATTCTGCTGATCAAGCTTAAGGATTGTAAATAAGAATTTACGTCGCCATCCTGTCTAACTATAATGGGGGAGAGTCAGGCGGGCAAAGAGCTGAGAAGGGGCTGGGGATCATACATGGACAGAGAGCCTTTAAAACTTAAATTTAAGCGAAGGGGTTTCGTGGATAAACGTAGACTAAAAAGGACTGATAATTAGAACGGCAATGTGGCGGCAAGCTACCGATTAAGCTCAACAACAGCCCGTAGGATTAAACGACCGTTCACCAAAGCCTTAGGGTATCGGGCAACCAGTGCTTACACACCCCATGTGAAAGTAACCAATATATTTAATATATTCTACTAGAAACAAGTATGATACATATAAACCATTAAAATTTATTATTTCTGAAAATAAAGAGTAAAACCAGCCGGGAGACCCGTGGATGAGGGATGAATTCTGAGATTTTCAAAAAGTTTTAAGCCTTAATAGCGAACTTTCTCTGTGGGAAAGCGATAGCTTGCTTTCTGGCCTTGTCGGTAGTCTGGAACTTCTCAAACTTGGTCAACTGTCTTCTGATGGCTCTGGTCTTCTTGGCTCTCAAGTCCTTTGGCTGGTACTTCTTACCGGAGTAGAAAGCGGCAACGTTTTCACGCTGTTGCAAGTTAATGATGGTCAAGACACGGGCAATGTTCTTACGAACAGTGTGGATCTTTGGCAAAGATGGTCTGGTCAACTTCTGGACCTTCAAGGAAGCCAATTCCTTCTTCAATTCAACTAATTGGAGTTCCAATTGGTCCTTAGACTTAGTACGGAGTTCGAAAGCTTTGACACCGGCCTATAAAAGGGTTAGTATAATATTCGTCAGGTCAAAGTCCAGGTTGAGCCAAATATTTGTAGTTGTCACTTGTCGATGTGCCTAGAAAGGATTCTCCAACAGCCCTGTTCACGAAAACTAAGTTGCTGTCGTGTCGCTGTCCGAGGTTTAAATGAACGGGCTCTCATTCAGTAACCCCTTGCTTGCAAATCTCTCGGACGTTTAGTATAACTGGCATGGCGTTTCATTTCTTTGGGACTCGTTTTCTCGACATCGGAGTTGACACTGGGAAGGGTTCCTGTTCTGCCTCAAGACTTGGTGAATCTGGACGATGGTTGGACGGTATGCACATACCATTTTGTATATATTGATTAACTGGGTTTAAAAGACACTATTACGTATGGGTGTCAAGTTTTTTATTTAGTATGGTTGAAAAAAATTGCTAGTACCGAATCCTCAGTGTCTGGCGCACACAGTGCCTAGGCGGAGTGAAAATTCTCACTAGGTTGTATGGGCAAAGGTACGTTACCCGGAGAAATGAAACGGCCAAACCATAAAGTCGTTCCGAGCCCAAAAGGTCGTGCAATAATGGAATTTCCTAGCCCGGTGTTCGAGATAAAACTGGAAATTTGGATTGCACGTGACTCAATCCAGGGCTTGACAGCTGCGAAAACGAAAAAAATTGCACCGATTCTGCATATTGCGTGACTGTGGTAGAAGCCCTAATTATCAGCACGTGATTAATGACTACCGGTGGGGGGGCCCTGTCAGACCGGCGGGTATTTCGCAAGGATTCACCCAGGAATATGGCATATTATTATTGGCATAGCTACCGTAAATATATAAACTAGAAATGGTTATAATATAGTATTATTTGTAGAGAACTCTCGAAATAATAAGCGGCTGACATATTCAGTGACAGCTCTATACCAAATGCAAGGTGGGCGACACCAGCCGCACCACGTAGATGCATTGGGGCGTGCATACCATCCGATGGTGATGCAGCTTCGCCTAGTGATGAATTAGCATTCAATCCAAGCAGTGTACTCTGGGCCTTTAAACCAGTGATAGTTATTATTTACAATGGGCACACTTTTTTTCCTGTAATATTACAGTGTTGGCGGCTCTTTGAGCAGGATATTGGCACAAATGATAACAGCATAGATCAATCAAGGCATATTCAGAAAAACGATAACCATCGCGCTATCCAACCCCACAGGGGCCTCACACTTCTTAATTCCCCACGTCGATAGAGTCGACAAGGTCGCGGGCCAAGGTGGCCTCTTTGCTTTCATCCACCAGGCCTATATTTTCCTGGGCCTTGGCATGATCTTTCGGTGTTGAAGCTCCTGCATTCTCCTCCTTCGTACCAGATACCGCTAATGATGCCGGGGTGTTTTCCGGGGTGCCGCCCCGCTCGTCGATAATGTCATGGATATACTGCAGACTACCCAGAATCCCCTCGCCGTACCCGTCACGGTGCTGGCGGTTGTACGGCTGGTAGCTCCGGTGATTCCCCCTGGAGTATGGCATCCGGTCATACCTCACAGTGATTATACGCCCTTCCAACACACTTTCGTCCAATTCCTCAATCGCACGGGTAGCACCCTCGGCCGTCTCAAATATCGCAATCGCAAACCCTTTGCTCAATCCATATTCTCTTTGCGAGTCCGCTGGCACGTCTACTCGTACTACATTTCCCGCCAGTCTGAGATGTTGTTTGACCGTCATCCAGGTGGTGGTGTACGGAATGTTCCCCACAAAAAGTCTCCGTGGGTCGAATACCTCGTTCCCTCCGTGAAACTGGCTTCGGTTCATCGGCGATGGATATTGGTTGGCAGGGTACCACTGCGGGTATGGGAATTCCATTGGCTGTTCAAATTTCAGCGGGAAATTCCGATTGTAGTGCAAGCTTGTGCGGTTCCGGGGATCGCTTCTAGGGGAGTAGTAGTTTGGATACCTTCCCTGTTTGTTTGACGAGTATAACGGCGGAGAATGTGCTCCATAGCCGTAGACGGGGCTCATCCCCCCGCTTGGCGAAGTCACGAGACTGGAGGGGGTCACTCGAGGCGATTGTGAAGCAAACCGGCCTGGGGTACGGTGGGGAGAGTAGGTATCCTCAAACTTCAGACCACGATTGAAGTCGCCGGGTATGTCTCCAAGGTGCATGCGCGGGGCTTCCAAACCATACGGGACAAAGCCCAGGGGAAACAGGGGATACATCGGAGGGTATTTGTTCATGTATACGGGGGCCTGGGCCGGGTTCATCGGGAAATACGGCATCATGGGGTTAGGGGGAGGGGATACTGGAATCATGTAAGGGTTCGCTGGGATGGCAGCCTCGTCATACGGCAGTTCATATGCATAAGGATTATCGAAGAAGCCAGGAATTACAGCTCTGACGGTCTTTCCTTTCCAACCATAGTCCTGTAAGACATGGAGCAATTTGTCGAGAGAGTAGGAGTCGTGCACCACTAGACTCGCCCAGCAGTCCGATTCGTCTCCGGGCTGGTTGAACAACATAAGCTCCGAGTAGGTATTTTCATCCACAAAGGAATTTAGCAATTCCGCTAAATCGTCAGCGGAGGTATCATTGGGCAATCCAATGATGTGAATCGGAGGTGGAATTCCGGGGGGAAGGGCCGGACCGAGCTGGAAGTTGTTAAACGCCTGTGCAAGAGAATTTATCTCCGGGTTGGGCGATGGAGTAACCGCGGCACGTTTTGACATTGTGGGATAAATCTATCGGTAATCTTTTTCCAGCTAGACGGAAATAATGCGAGCTTTCAGTGCATGAAACGAGCTTGTAGCACTATGAAAGCAGTGGATTTCTCCCGGTAATGGACTCAATGGTAATCGCTCGTAGACTTATCAAATATAGACTCAAAATTAACCACTCTTGGTACCTGTGGAAATATCTGAAAGTTGTGTCTGTGGAGCAAACCTTCTACTGACTCTAATTTTTGACTTGTTTCTCCCGTATTTTATCCTCGTTTTCTCTATCTCTCGATTATATACACGGGGGCTGCGGTGTGCTGCGGCTCGAGCGTTTATCCCTACCGCGCCTAATCCATGCACCAGACCTAGAACCTAGGAAGCCGTCTCCGAACGCCACACCCGGTGACATCGAAAGAATTAATTCGTCGCGTTTGCTGGGGTATTTATAATTGATTGTTCCAACGCAGGGGTAATACCAAGGTTCCAATGGTATGTTGGTGCTACTTTTGTAATAATTCACGGTCGTAGCCCGTCCACCTTGTGTATGATTGTTTGGGATACGGAATAGATCACACCTAGATGAGTTTAAATAATGAATAGGTTACCGCCCTCTACTGCTAGCATACCTGTTTTTTGGTTTTAGCCACAGATTGAATCTTAACAATGAATGGAATATTGTATGTATTCCTTGGTACGACACTGATTTAACGTGTTAATATCAGGAAGCTTTTACCAATATTGGTAATGACGCCAAAGTACGCGTGTACAGCTGGAAAATTTATCTGTATTAGTACCCCTAGTTTATGGAGGGTTCCCCAAATAAGAGCTTGCTCTTTATTAACGATCAAGGCATTTCCCTAATCTACAAACCTTTCGGATCCGGCTGCCCTAAACGTCCGTAACTTATTGGAGGCCGTTCCAGATTATCGCCCCCACCACCCTACATATACTAATTAGCAGTTATATCGGAGCACGTTCTATGTATGTGTACAGACAGGAAACAGCCTAATCTTACCAGTAGATTTAACACACCACTCCGTTGTGCGGCTATTCCTTGTTTTTTTTTTTAGTTGACGGTGACTCTAGTCGGTTCTGTCACGTCTGAAGTTGCCGCCGTTTCTGCGCTTACCCTGGGCTCCCTGACGGTTGCGATTGGTATTTTTCTTGACACCACCAGTCTTTTCGTCCAAAGTTCTGTCGGTCAAGCCGATTTCTCTGGCTAAGCCGGTCCCGGTTTCCACGCCAAACTTCTCCACTCTGGCTAAATCCTTCTTGGCAGCCTCGGCACCAGCATCATCACCGAATTTCTCTGCTCTCTTCATCTTTTTGGTCAAGAACTCAATGGCCAATTGTTTGCGTTCATCTGCAGACAATACCTTTGGCTCCTTCTTTTCCTCGGCTTCCACTGGGGCTGGGACTTCTTTGGCTAATGCTTCAGCCACTGGAGCAGCCGGGGCAGGGACTTCGGCTGGAGTTTCAACTGGAACTTCAGCTGGAACTTCAGCAGGGGCTTCGACTGGGGCCTCCGCCGGGACAGTTTCACTGTCAGCGGCATCAAGGCGCTGGATCAATTCTTGCTTGACCCCTGCAGTGGAGAGGTTTCTGGCTTTCAAGAGTTCCTTGAGCTGAGCGACGGTTTTGGCGGAATATTCTGACATTGAGGTCTGGAGATTAGTATCGATTAGCAATCCCCGCAAGAACTAAGAGTCTTGAATTTTATCCGTTTAGTAACGGATACGAGCACAACATACCTTTGAGATTGAGTACGGTTGTTTAATTTGGTGGATTAATGGCGGCTGGGCGTATATTTGCCAACGACAGTTCGGGATCGGGGTGTGGACGTAAATAACGCGCCTTGACTCAGATTCAGAGTTTTCAGGATTTCAACACGGAGCGCTGTCCCAATCGGGATGCAGGATTAGAATTGCCCGATCGGGAGTGAACATAATTTGGACATCAGATACTCGCAAACGGCCAAGGCTGGTTTGCTTTACTGTCCTTTATTCTAATGATTGGAGATTTACTGCAATTTATTGTAACAATACGAAATTAATAGTGTTAAATAATAGGCATAAGGGAAAGAAGCGTGGTTGGTAGGTAATCCAGTAGCATCAACAGAGAGTATAAGCCTAGCGATCGTATCCTGGAGGGTGAATTTTGCATTAAAATATCCAATAGATAGTTGGTGGTTATAAATAGCTGTAAGCTTATTGTTTAGAGGGTATTTTAGTGGCATAGGTGGATAGAATATGGTCAGTAAGTCTGCATCTCAACCGAAGTAATAATTCCAAGCAGAAATCCCGAACAGAAATCCCAAGTAGACATCCCGAGCGGATATCCCAAGAAGATATCCCGGGCAGAAATCTCAAACAGAAATCTTTGGTCAAAGCCATGCCTGCCAAACTAATCTCTTTTGGGTGTTCCTCCTATGAGGAGGCTTCCAAGGAAGGCTTCTCAGGAGGAGTAGAAGGAGAGCTGGTTGGAAGAGTGGAGGGAATACCTGGGGATGTGTTGTATAAAGCATAACAAAGGACAAACACAAGAATAGCACCCAAGATGCTAACGAGGAGTCTTCTGTCGATTTTGATAAAGAGCATATTTGGCCAGTTGTATGAAAGTTAGTGAGGTTCAGATAGGCATAGACACATCAATGGAAGATAAGTTGTATCTAGTATAGTCCAAAATTCCGGGGTTTGAAATCTAGGGATCTAATATCCCATAGCACAATATTGGGGAGGACCGAAAAGGGTGTGTGGGTTTTCGTCCTGCAGCAAGCAGGAAGACGGGGCCGGAGTCGCCTTTGGTATGGGTGACTCCGATATTTACTACTAGCTAAGAGGGTTGTAATAAATTTGCTTCTCCATTATTTAATCGTGAAAATGAAGTATAATAATAGCTACATATATTACTAAGTTGTAAATTATATATCTTTGGTCTTATATATCAGCATATAAATATATATATATATATTTGAAAATCTATATTAATACAACCAGAGGATTGTTTTTTGAAAAAAAAAAAAAAAAAAAAAAAAAAAAATCCATAACTGCAGTGAACAGTTATTAATACCACATCGCCATTAAAGTGATACCGATATATCAACCATACAGACCTAACCCTAATATAGCCACAACCGTATTTGGCTACATAAACACCGTAAATCTTCAAAACCTATACATGCTTAAAACTTAAGCCTCGACTCGCCCTGACTGGCCAATACCTTCTCGGCAATCGGAGCAAACTTCACTTTCATCTTGCACTTGCCGTACAAACTCAACAAGGTCTCACCGCTCGCACGGTTCTCCTTGCTGTCCTGGGTCTCGATCAACTCGACAAAGGTCGGGTCAATGGGCACGTCGCCCAAATACTCAACGCCAAACTCAGCAGCCATCGCTTCACCGCCACCGCGGCTGAAGATATCTGTACAGTCATCGCAGTAAGGGCACACAAACCCAGCCATGTTTTCAACCACTCCAATGACCTTGAAGCCCACCTTTCTGCAGAAATTCAACTCCTTCTTCACGTCATTCACCGCCACTTGCTGGGGGGTAGTCACCACAACCGCACCATCAGGCTGGGCAAACCGTAACTCTTCGGCAATCGCAATGTGCTCGTCAGAGGTTCCAGGGGGAGTGTCAATGAGTAAATAGTCCAATTGACCCCAGTGAACGTCGTTAATGAACTGCCTGATCATGGCTGTCTTCTTCGGACCCCTCCAGACAACCGCGCTGCCTCTGTCGTTCAACAAGAAACCTAGCGACATCACAGCTAGGGAACCGTTGGGGGAGTTACTACCCAAACCAACGTGAACGGGGATCCACCCGTTCAGCGACTGGTGGACTTGTCTGTTTTCCACTCCAAAAAATCTGGGAATGGACGGGCCAGTAAGGTCAATGTCCAAGACCCCAACCTTGAACCCCTTTAGGGCCAAGGATAGCGCGAGCTGGGTGGTGATGGAGGATTTGCCCACCCCACCCTTCCCCGATAGGATCAAGAAGATGTGGGAGATCTGTGCAAGCGACTTAGGAGTCTCTGTTGGTGCTTCTGCCATGGAATAAGTGGTATATGCAAAGGAATGCTTAGATGTGACGGCTAAAGACAAGAAAGATAAGGATATGAGCTGAAACCCAAGAACAAGGGGAAATCAGTGTGACAGCGCTTGGGTGAACCGTAGCTGAATAATGGACTTTACGGTGCAGGAGATAGAGTTTACTAATCACTGCGGCTCAGAATTCTTCACGTGATGGTTGGCGAAGAAACCGAGGGTGAGATTTGGCAGCCCTTAGGATATGGATTTTTTTTTACCGATTAAGCATGACCAAATGAGGCGATTAGTATGGTAAAGGTTTATGGAACTATCCATTGAAAACTTTAAGCCCTTCTGTTTCCCGCGTTAGCCCGTCGATACTAGAGCAAGCGAATCCATGAAACCAACTCACCGGGAAGGTGTTGTGTTCACGGGTACGCTTTGACTCCAAACCTAATTATTATGTTTATAACTTCAATCACGACACGCCATTTCTTGGGAATATTCTCGAATCTCTGAACTTAGGTAGGCCCGCCAGTATCCCTGCGAGAACACTATGGTTGTAACCGAGCCGCTTCAACTGGTTACCTGACAGAAACCCGACTCCTAAATACGCTTTATGACACCTTACACGCCGTTACCTTTTGCTTTTAATAAATATACAGGAAGAAATGAAAGAGACGCCTCCAGAGGAGCCCTCGAATGCCTCGGCCTATATGGTACCGTTTCTGCGTAAGCCGTTCAAGATGGAAATCACGGACAAGTAAGACGATTGAGAGACATCCTCGCTGATGCCTACACCCCAGCGGGTGGATGCTTCACCGGTCTTGTTGGACTTGAAGCCCGCTTCGATGTAGGAAACGGCCTGGGCGTTGGAGTCAGCGCCAAGAGAGTGCTCATGGTAGTGCTTGACATCGAGCGCAACGTTGAAGGATGCACTGACGGCGTTGGTGAACGCGGAAATCGGCCCGTTACCCTTCCCAGTGCAAGTGGTTTTGATGCCATCAACCTCCAAAATCACGGTGATGGATCTGGAGGAGTCTTCGCTCTTGACCAAGTCGTAGTCAATCAACTTGAAGTAATCGTCGGAGTCCTCGCCCGAAACGACAGAGGAGGTTTCCGAGTCCTCACCGGAGTTCAGGAGGAAATACTCTTGCTTGAAGAGCTCGACCAACTCACTGTTGACCAACTCGCGGCCGTTGATCTCGGCAGCCTCCTGGACAATCTTGGAGAACGCCACCTGCAAGCCTCGAGGGAGATCCAACTCCAAGTTCTTGAGGATGACCCAGGACGAGCCACCCTTCCCGGACTGAGAGTTGACTCTGATGATGGCTTCGTACGTTCTGCCAATATCCTGTGGGTCTAACGGAAGGTATGGAATTTGCCAGTGGACCTTGGAGGAGTCGCCCGCGACCTTGACCTTTTCGTCGTGAATGGCAAACCCCTTCTTGATAGCGTCCTGGTGCGACCCAGAGAAGGCACACACCACCAACTGGCCGCCATATGGCGCTCTGGCGTGGACTGGGATCTTGTTGCACTTTTCCACCACCTCAATGACGGAGTTGATATCGCTGAAATCCAACTGAGGAGAGACCCCCTGCGTGTACAAATTGAGCGCAAGCGTCACGAGATCCACGTTACCGGTGCGCTCACCGTTTCCGAAGAGACACCCCTCAATACGGTCAGCACCGGCCAACTGGCCCAACTCGGCAGCCGCCACGGCGCAACCACGGTCGTTGTGTGGATGCAAGGAGATGCACACCTTCTCCCTCTCGGAGATTCGGGTGGAGAAGTATTCGATCTGGTCGGCGTAGATGTTTGGCGTGGACATTTCCACGGTAGCTGGGAGGTTGAAGATAATCGGGTTGTCCACACTTGGCTCCCAAGCAGCCTTGACCGCCTCGCAGATTTCGAGCGCAAAGTCCGGTCTGGTGTCGGAGAAAGTTTCTGGGGAGAACTCAAACGACCAGTGGGTGGCTTGTTGGGTCGGGTCGTCCTTGGTCAATTCACGGACCAATCTGGCAGACTTGGCTGCAAGCTCTAACGATTGCGCTTCAGACATGTTGAAAATGACGTTGCGGAAGCACGCGCTGGTCGCGAGGTAGATGTGTACTGTCGCGCGCTTCGCCCCGCGCAACGACTCCACCGTGCGTCTGATGAGTTCCTCACGGCAAGGCGACAAAACCTGGATGGAGACGTCTGCTGGTGCGTGCTCGATGGCGTAGCGGGTGAAGTCGAAGTCAATCTGCGAGGCCGATGGGAACGAGACCTCAATTTCCTTGAAGCCAACCTCCACGAGCTTGTGGAAGTACTCCTTCTTTTCCGGGATCGACATCGGGTCTGGGAGCGACTGGTTTCCGTCTCTTAAGTCGGTCGCGAGCCATCTTGGTGCGCGCTTCATCGTCTTGGACGGCCACTGGCGGTCCGGCATGTCCATCCGCGGATACGCCTTGTACTTGGTGGAGGGGTCTTGTAACATTGGCATTATGTCTTATTTTCTTCACAAACTAAATAGTGGAATGTGACTTATTGGCAAAGCAGCAACGTAGCAGGAGCGCGCTTATATATGGATCGGTTTACGTCATGACTCAGCGTAGAAGCCTGTGGAAAATTTCGATAGAGTTTGCCCATACTAGAGCGAAGACGCTCCGGTGGGGTGCGTGCAGGATAATGGAGCGGTACCGCTGGCGGTAATAGCCGAGCCCCTTAGGGGAAGGGTGCATAGTATGGGAGGGCGAGCAGCTGGGGGTATCGACGGGGCCGGTACCGGCGCGGGTCCTAAAAGCCGGCTGAGGGAAATGCCCAGGATATATACTGGTGCTACATGATTTTTTGGTAGCACCAGTGAGATGATTGGGGGGTCGGAGGTTTATATTTAGTTGCTGGTATATTAGCTGTCATCCGTGGAACAATGCTTACCGAATATATTGTGTCACCAGGGAGATTGTAATGACTGGTGGTATGATTAGGTGAGGCGCAGGATAAGGCATGTGATAAAGGGAAAACTAGGCGAGTACCGCAATGTTGTAGTGGAGCGACGTAGAGCTTTGGGAAATATTGCTTTGTGGGTAACCAAGAGTTTGGTGTGATAACTCGACCAGTGTCTTTTAATAAGTCCAGACTTTAGGACATGTATGCCTCATCTCTGGGGCCCTCCATGGCAGCGGAGAGTCCGATGTGGCACTGAAACAGAATGGGGAGTGGTTTGAGTGCTATGATTTATATGGGGAATAATTAGTATATTTAAAGCATTGCTGTTCAGTCTACAAGGCAGTCTGCTTCTCACTAATAGTGAAGGCACGTTCAGATTAGAGTCGAGGAGAGTACGGTGTGAGCCAAGACCCAATTTTGTATTTGCGTTGCTCTTACACGGGATAGCCATATGGGAAATTTGAGTACACTCATCAAAAACGCCATACCTTTCCAGTATTAAGCACAGGGAGGTAATAAAGCTACTAATGCCTTATTTGAAAAAAAATTATATCCATAGTTTGGTATCACAAAAAGTTTGGAAGAGTCAGGGATCGAACCAGAGACCTTCCGCATGCAAAGCGGACGCGCTACCAACTACGCCACACTCCCAAGAATTATGGTAGCACGCACTGTTTTCAAACCTTCTGATGGACAGACTCTCAGTGGTTGAGCGTGAAGCAATAACATCCAAGAGGAATAACAAGCGTGAGTGAAGCGAGATGGATGAGGAAGACCTTTTTCCGTGAGTGACGAGCATACAGTGATGCATATGCAGAATCAGACTGCCGACGTCACTGGTGCCTATCAAAGCTATGGGTGGTTCATAGAGACGTACTCGAAGGTGGCTATATGGATATCGCAAAATCTCTATTATATCTTTCACAATCTCTGTTTTAGCGTAAAATCCCAGTTCCATACCACCCACCATGTTTGGTCGGTTTGGAAGGAAATTTTTACCCTAAAACTGGCCCTCCCACCTATCGACCTGTAAGAGCAAGCATGAAAACTTTGAGACTACAGGTCCCAACATTCCCAGTTGGAACGGGTCAATTTTCATTGAAACACTGATGGCCCGGTCAATCCCCTTTCCAAGGACGCCGGTTGCATACCGCCTTACGCCGAGTTATTTGGCTGGAATCGTCTAGTAACATAGAGAGCCTTAGAGGCGCGTCCACAGCAGCCTGTCAGCTACAGATGATACACCCTAGGTGCTTAAGGATGCTTTTATTCGGATTTCCAATATCCGGGCGTATGCACATACTGCTCCCGGGGTCTGCATTGGGTTCAGGGGCCGCTACTTCTATGAACGACGACTCCAGTATTCCATGGTGCCAAGTTCTCGGACTTTGGGACTGGGCGACGGATTCGTCACATATTTGTATGACGTACATACAGCCCTGTGCATGCATTATTGAAATTGCTTCTCCGAGTCAGGAAAATGTAGGGCCGGGGTATTGCGTGCGTCTGCTTTCGAGTACCATAAATGTTCAGAAAAAATAGATAAAACAAACTGCAGACGGATAATATGTTTTGAACCACCCACCAGCAAAGGACCGAAGAAAAATTAAAACACGTTTGGTGGGTATCAACCGCGTGTTTCCAGCCTGGGCCCGGGTAAACCACCCGGGTAAACCACCCGGGAATTAGACATGAGCCGCACCAAAAGAAATCACCAGAGGTGGACGCCGCATCTTCGGGCCATTGGCGCGAGATGCATGCGGCGGCTGCATGTGGATATAGACAAATTTTTCACGGCAACGATGACTCTTTCTTTGTCATACATATATATATATACCAATGCGTTAGATAAGACATTTGTATACTCTAAATGACTTGCGAAATAACCAAACCTGTTTAGGCGACTCTCTTAGAACTCCCAACAATCCTCCGTCACAATGCCTCCACTGGTGAAGCAAGACCTGGGGCAGTTAACGGCCATTTCGTCCGGCACACCGTTGCCCAAGCACGACAAATACATTGCCCACGACGGCCCCGATGACATGCAGTCCTTTACCGGTGAAACCGCCAAGATTGGTGGCTGGCAGGGGTTTGTGGACTCCTTCAAACAGTACAAGACGGAGGAAATCAGCTACGACCCGAATGTCTCCGACTTGGAACGGGCGGCCATCAAGAACGCAAACTCTCCATTGTCGCGTAAATTGAAGGGGCGCCACTTGCAGATGATTGCAATCGGGTCGTCTATCGGGACCGGGTTGTTCGTCGGTAGTGGATCTGCTTTGCACACGGGTGGTCCGGGGGGTGTCTTGATCGCGTGGTTCCTCATTGGGATCATGATGTACTCTACCGTTCAGGGCTTGGGTGAGTTGGCAGTCGCCTTCCCCGTCAGCGGTGGGTTCAACACGTACGCCACACGTTTCATTGACCCGTCGATTGGGTTCGCCGTCGGCTGGAACTATTTCCTCCAGTTTGTGACCTTGATGCCGCTAGAGCTTGTGGCTGCGAGCATCACCATCCAGTACTGGAATACGACCATCAATCCAGATGTGTGGGTGTGCATCTTCTACGTGGTGGTGATTACAATCAACTTCTTCGGGGTCAAGGGCTACGGCGAGGCAGAGTTTGTGTTCTCCACCATCAAGGTCATTGCCGTCATTGGGTTCATCATCTTGGGGATCGTGTTGGCCGCTGGTGGCGCACCAAACGGCTTTAGCCCTGGTACCCAGTACTGGCACGTTCCAGGAGCCTTTGCGAACGGGTTCAAGGGCGTGGCCTCCACTTTTATCACTGCTGCCTTCAGTTTTGGCGGTACCGAATTGATCGGTCTTACAGCTGCCGAGACGCTGAACCCGAGAAAGATGTTGCCGGCGGCGATCAAGCAGGTGTTCTGGCGTATCACTTTGTTCTACTTTGTTTCCTTGACCATCATCACCTTCTTAGTGCCGTACAACAACCTGCATTTGATGGGTGCCTCCTCCGTCGACGTCACCGCCTCTCCCTTCGTGATTGCCATCGAACAGGGTGGGATCAGCGGGTTGTCTTCCGTCATGAATGCGGTTATTTTGATCTCTGTGCTTTCCGTGGGCTCCTCCTCCGTTTATGCCACCTCCAGAACCTTGGTTGGTCTCGCAGAGTTGGGCCAGGCTCCGAAGATCTGCGGGTATATCGATAGAGCTGGAAGACCGCTCGTGGCGATCATCTTGACAAATGTGTTCGGCTTGCTCGCCTTCATCGCAGCGTCTGGGAAGCAGAACGAGGTCTTTAGCTGGTTGTTGGCGATTTCCGGGTTGTCGTCGCTTTTCACCTGGATCACCATCAACTGGGCCCATTTGCGCTTCCGAAGAGCCCTCAAGGTCCAGGGTCGTTCCACCAGCGAGCTAACCTTTGTTTCACAGGCCGGGATTGTCGGTTCGCTTTTCGGATTCGGTCTCGTTATCTTGGTGTTGGTGGCGCAGTTCTGGATTGCCTTGTTTCCGTTGGGTGGTCCCTCAAGTGCCGAGAATTTCTTTGCCTCCTACTTGGGCTTCTTGATCTTGTTGTCCTGCTATTTCGGCCACAAGCTCTACACCCGCAACTGGAAGCTCCAGCACCGCGCGAGGGACATCGACATCGACACTGGTAGAAAGGTCGAGGATATCGAGCTCTTGAAGCAGGAGATTGCCGTGGAAAAGGCCGCCATGTCACAACGCCCGGTGTACTACAGGTGGTACAAGTTCTGGTGCTAGAAAATTTAGAGTGCATTAAATACTAATTATGAGAAAATACCAATTATGAGAAGGCTATAGTGGGGGAAACTGTATCTGGTATATGCTAAAGGTGTAGAGTTATCCTTTGCCAAGCCTGCCCAGATGACACCGCAGATTCAGTTTCAGCTATACCACCATACATGCCTCAGAAAACAATATCCTAACCGGCAAATCTTCAGATCTCTATATTCTGTCAAAACGCTGTAGTCTGGGGGAAGTATAAAAGACAGGGAAGCGGACGTGCTTCCACCATACTAGTATCATTAAGCCGCACACTCATGTGATCTCGTCGGCTCCCTCACTGACAGCTGTAACACAAATCGCGCCATGGTTTGCCGATGTTGCCGCGTATCACTAAATAGTTCGAGGTGATTGCATTCATACCGGGGAACACACCTAGAACAGACAATCTACGGAATATTTATACAAAAACTTCTGCACAGAAACCTAGCAGAATCTAATCCCCCCTTGACACGTTCATCAGGGCTCAACAAAAGTCCGTTACAAACCAATCGTAACTATCCATATGACAGACAGTCCCCCGCCATTACCACCGCGAGACACGGAGGCTACACAGCAAAAAGGGGTGCTGACGCCGTTACCTCTGGCGGCGAGGGAGCTCGCGCCCAAGCGCCTGTCCCGACCAGACCTTTCGCTCGATAAGCGCTTTGTCTCGCTTGATGCAGGGCTCAGTTCGCCGCTGTCGCCGGCGTTATCTCACTTTGCTCAGAACTTCTCGCGTCGCCTGTCGATGCATAGCTCCGTGACTGGCAAGACCCTGTCGTCGTTCAGCACCGGCTTCCAGCAGGAGTTGCGTGACGAATTCAACTGGTTTCTTGTCAAGCGGCAGTACGATGTGCTCGCGGCGCTCTACAGCAGTTCATCCGAGACGTGTGCGAGCGTGAAGGCAGGTGACGCGGTGTTGCGCGTGCGATTCGCAAAGCTCTGCGCGGTGGCCGAGCAACAGGGCGCGGACTGGAGCTGGTGGGAGACGCTCCTCGGAGACTACGCGCGGAAACCGGTGTTGCTCGAGATGGAACAGAACCTTAACCAACTCCAGGGTTTTCCGTGCGATGCACGCGGCGTGCTCTACCTCTCAATCCTTCGTGCAAAGTCTGCGCTTCTTGAAGATGCGTACGCGGAGATGGTGGCGAGTGGCCGCGCGTGTGACAAGAATGACGAGCTCAACATCCTTTTGGAGAACTACTCGCGCGAGCTCGCAGACTCCAAGGATGCCAAGGGACTCAAGACATTGTTGCGCTGCTTCACCATTTACACCGGCGACATTCCCAGCGCTCATGTGGTGAACGTGGCGCTCGTATTGCACGGGGCCAGCACGACCTCGGCGCTGAGCCCCGAGTCGTTAGTTGATCTCAGCGAGGCGGAGACGTTTTCCGTGTTGTTGAAGTTTGACGCCATCTACAGCGACCTCAACAAGGACGAGTTCTACTACAAGATGAGTCGCACATTGGAGGATACGCTTCCAGCGGTGTACCTCCATCTCACAGCCCAGGGTGTTATCTTGAGCTCGTTCTACAAGAAAATTCTCAGCTTTGAGTTTTTCAAGGACATGTTCACCGCGGACGTGAATAAGGAGACGGCCGGGTCGACCACCGCGCAGTTCGTCTTGCAGAATATGGATATGGTGGTACTCCAGGGTGTAGACTACTTCACCAAGTTTATTTTGCATGTGTTTACTGCCCACCAGGAGCGGATCTTGGCGTCAAATCTTAACCAGCAGACGCAGTTCTTGCATGTGGAGTTATTAAACACCGAGAACTACAGCGTCGCGTCGTCTAGCAGCGATTTCAGTGACGAAGAGCCCACGTTCTTTACCGCCACACTCTATCTGACCCCAGACTTTATCAAGTACGAGAACGAGTACAATCTTTTGAATAATAACTCGTTGAACTTGAACAACACCGAGTTGATCAACCTCAAAGAGACGAACGAGGATTTGACGTCAAAGCTCCAGGAGCTCAACTCCAAATTTGAGCACCTTAATAAGAATCACTTGGCGATCGTCCAGGAGAACCAGGAGATTCTCCAAGAGTTGGCCGCGCAGAGTGCCGATACCACGCGGTTGAGCGCGCGCCGCGATGCCTTGGCGGCGCAGGTGCAACAGTTGGGTATGAACGAGGAGATTCTCCAGACGCGAGAGCGGAACGAGAAGTTTGGAGCGGTGAACGACGAGTTGAAACAGCAGATAGAGGAGACCAAGAGAGATTTGGAGGCGAAGCGGTTGGCCGTGGAGGAGCTCCGGGCCGCAGAAACCGTTGCTTAACGGGGGGGAGAGCAATAAGAGTGAAGGCGGAGCCTGAGCGAAGCACAAGCTTGAACAAAGGAAATTAAAATGTCCAAATTGTCTAATGCCTGAATATTAATATAGATATCAAATTCGTAGATATGTAGAAAAGATGCATATTACTAAATCCGGATACGACAGCATACGCCCAAGAAATTCATGGAAACAGATTAGTATCAGCCTTTAGGCTTGAAGTACAGCTCTGCTAATAGGTGCACAATTACCAAACCACACACACAAACAAAGCAAAACAGAATGTATGGTCACCCCAAAACTCATCTGGTTAGGATATGCATGTGGGTTGAAAATCCGAAGTAGCTTTGGCGTTTAGGGCAACGGCTGTTTCCAAGCGTCTTCCCGGAAGCCCAACCGGAGATGAACTACCAACCTGGTCACATCCCTTATAGTGGATCTGTATCCATTTGTACACCTCGCTTAGCACTACCCCTTACACGCAAGTTGTGAATTACACTCCTTGCCACCGGATATACCATCTGGCCCTCGACAATCGACCGGATCTATGTCCCGCGCTCACGCGATCTGTTGGTAAGTCCCTCCTGCATACGCCTCCCCTATCCACTTGCATGCGTCTCGCAGGATGATCCGCCGAGGCTCCAGCCAGTGACGAAACGTGATTATTCACCCTCGAGCTAACCCCGCGATTGCCGCAATCTCCTCAACAACGTTCCCTACTTTCTTTTTTCCCCAGAGCACTATAAAGCATATGGGGTTTAAGGGATTCCCCAAATTGAGTTTTAAACCCAACCTGTATACCGCAATGACTAAGGCTGGATTGCTACACACAGTCTCTCGCGTGAACTTCGCGCGCTCTGCTAACATTTCAAGACTACTCTCAACCAAAGTCACAGTCAAGAATGGCAAATCGAAAGCATACGGAAGCTGGAAGGTCTACGCCCCACTTGTGTTCATGGCCGCTGGGGCCTACCTATCCTTCCATGGCGCCTTGCTCCACTCGGACGTGCAAAAGGCCCCGGTCAAGGCTGGGGTCACGATTGATGAGTTGAAGGAACACGTCACCCCTGAGTCTTGCTGGGTTGTGATCCACGGCCAGGTGTATGACGTAACAGAAATCCTTCCCATCCATCCCGGTGGTAGGCGGATCATCATGAAGTACGCGGGGAAGGATGCCACCAAGAAGTTTGACCCGCTTCATGCGCCAGATATGATCAAGAAGTTTCTTCCGGAAGATAAGCATTTGGGGCCGTTGATTGGGGAGCTACCTTATGAGGAGGAGCCAATTTCGGAGGAAGAGGAGGAGAGATTGCTCCGGGTCGAAAACATCCCACCAATCGGTCAAATGTTCAATTTATCGGACTTTGAGAGCGTGGCCAAGCAGACTTTGACTCCAGGAGCCTGGGCATACTACTCATCCGGGGCTGATGATGAAATCTCGCTCAGAGAGAACCACAACAGCTACCTGAGAATCTTCTTTCGTCCACGGGTTTTGGTGGATGTCAAGGACGTCAGCACCGCCACGACGATGCTTGGCGTCCCGACCGCGGCTCCGTTCTACATTACTGCCACAGCGTTGGCCAAGTTGGGCCACCCGGACGGTGAGTTGAGTATTGCTAGGGGAGCTGGAAACGAGAACATCATCCAGATGATCTCCACGCTTGCCTCGTGTTCCTTCGACGACATCACCGGCGCTGCGCTTCCGGGGCAGTCACAGTGGTTCCAATTGTATCTCAACCCCGACAGATCGATCTCTCGCAAGATGGTGGAGGCGTGCGAAAAGGCACCCAGCATCAAGGGGATCTTCCTCACCGTGGACGCTCCACAGTTGGGCAAACGTGAAAAAGACATGCGGTTGAAGTTTGACGACGATGCTGACGCCATTGTGAAAAAGGGCGACGGCGACAAGATCGACCGGTCGCAGGGCGCCACCAGAGCGTTATCTTCCTTCATCGATATGCAGGTGACGTGGAAGGACATTGATGCGCTTAAAAAGTCAACCAACTTACCGATCGTCATCAAGGGGATCCAGCGCTACGAGGATGTGATTCTCGCGGTTGAGCACGGGGTGGACGCTGTTGTTTTGTCCAACCATGGCGGGAGACAATTGGATTATGCGCTTTCTCCGTTGGAGGTGTTGGCTGAAACGATGCCTGAATTACGCAAGCGCCAGTTGGACGACAAAATTGAGGTTTACATCGACGGAGGGGTTAGAAGAGGTACAGATGTGATTAAGGCTCTCTGTTTAGGGGCCAAGGGTGTGGGTTTGGGAAGACCGTTCTTGTACGCCAACTCCAGCTACGGTGAGGACGGTGTAATCAGGGCCATCCAGGTTTTGAAGGAGGAAATGGATGTCGCCATGCGGTTGATGGGGGTTAACCGCATTGAAGAGTTGAATGAGAGTTTCTTGGATATGAAGGCCTTCCACGGCAGGACCCCTGTCAGAGACAGTTTGTACTATGATGCCTACGATCCGGTCATGCCTGCCAAGTTTAGAGATGAATAAGTGTCAATTTAAAAGTATGCACAGGAGAATGACGTCGGCTAAATACAATTACAAGTTCTAGAGTTGAGTCCCCCTTTTACATCCGCCAGACAGATAAAATGTCAGAAACTTCCTAAACTTGCAAATAACATTTTGAATTTTTTTTTCTTTTTAAATAAACATAAACGCGATCCCTTTCGAGGAAGCGTAGGACGATGCATCTAGCACAACAGCCGAAAACAAAAACAGAACTAACAATAAAAAAGATCGCATATAAAAAAGGAGGCGAAAGCATAGAACTTATAGGGAAAGAGAAACTCAAGACATGGAGAGTGCGCGTAGATCAACAGAGTATGAATGAAGTAAATCACTCAACAGCTCAAGCCGTTGCTCTCAATAATACCCTTCAATCTTAAGAGTTCCTTCTCCAACCATTCGTTCTTAGCGTTCAAGTCGTCACACTTATCCTCCAAAACAGACATCTTCTCCATCTTCCTAGCTCTAGACCTTCTGGCCGCCTCAGTGTTACGAGCTCTTTTCAAAGCCACTGGGTCGCCAGAGATATCTGGAGAGGCCTGGATAGGAGAGTACACCTCAGCACGAGACTGACGAGGCTTTGGAGCTTCGGCGTGACTGACAGCAACGGGTATCCGGGCCACCTTCTTAGAAGACTCCGAGGCGTTGCCAATCTCAGCATCGGCACCTGATCTCTTCAAAGACTGGAACGGGTTGATGGTTTCCAACTTGACATGCACCGGTGGCTCCATTGCTGCGACGGAAGAGGTTCTTTCTTCCTTGAACAAGGAGTTCCAGTGTTTGTCATCGGACTCCACACTCTCGTGCATGAAGGAAAAGTCACCAAACATTGGTTCGTCGTCCGGCATGTTAGGGGTGGAGAAAACCGAGTCGATGACAGAGGAGTGGATCTCAACAGAACTCATGCCGAGGGAACCATCTGTGAATCCACCGTCGAACGACAATGGAGAGTACAAGATGTCCGAAGGCAACTGAGCGCTCAACTCGTCGCGGGAAGTGGCCATGACGTTGGCACAGGCGTTCATCACGAGCGGTGGCTGAGCTTGCTGGATCTCAAAGGTGTCAAAGACAGACTCGCCCAAAATTAAAGGGGCGGCATCAACGGCGGTAGCCAAAGAAGAGGAGTGGGCGCCACCGAAGGAAGTGGAGTCCAAGAAGGACTCAAACAACGGATCGTGGGACATAGCGGTACTGTTCATGGTAGTAGAGGTTGGGTTCATTGAGGTAATGTTAGAAGTAGCAGCAGACATATTCAGGGATATAAAAATAGATTGGGAATTCAAGGGGGGGATAGGGATAATTAACTTTCTAGGGATAGAGGAGTAGTAACGGGGGACGCCATAGTGGACGGTTTAACAAGGTTCAAGTTTCAGGGGGACATTTTGAAGAGGGGGTTTTTATATAAAAACAACAATTTTGAGTTATTTTTCCGGGTTATTTTATGTGAATAAAAGGATAAACGCGAAATAATTTGTATCTTTGGAAGATGGTAAATTTAGGCAGACATTTTGTCTAGATTTTAATATAGGCAAAAGGGGACGTGTGGGTAAATTTAAAAGCGGGGGCAAGCAAAAGCAAGAAGAAAGACTGGAGGGTTGTAATTTGGGAAAATTGAAGTTGTTATTGGGGAAAGAAAAGAGAAAAGCGAAGGGACTTTAGATCTGACTTACGGGGGGTGCGTATGCTTTTATAATTCCGAGCGGTTAGCGCGAAAATTTCACGCGCATGGCTTGAAAATTTTTGCGCATCCCCGCGAATGATGCACTTTTCTCATTGGCTGTGGAACCTGCGGGTAGCCCAAATCTGCACTCCTGCAAGAGGGTAATTTCCAGCACGAAGCATGTGCAACTAAAAAGGAGCTATGTAAACACGTTAATGACTCATAGGATAACATTAGTCACGCGCGATTTGTAATCAGCTTAGCGGGTAGTCCGTTTTGGATATTAGGATTAGTCGAGGTGCTAGTGTTAGAAGGGGGGTATTTTTTCTTTGACTGAGTAAGGATAGATAGGAAATGTTCAAGTCACGCCAACACATCATCTGAACATCCTACCGTTATTCTTGAGTGTGTGTCTCGGAGTAGATCGGCACGACTGGCCGACATACCGCCGTTAACGGGGCGAAAATCAGTCCTGCGCCGCGCCATTCGGGCAATGCATGTAGGCCAGCTAATTAGGAACGCAGAGCTGGATCGGAGTCAACCCGCCGGAGCTCTAGGTGTTACCTGCTGTATGTATTTGTTATGGATAGGGCTGTACGGGCATCGAGCTAAGGGTGCTTACGTCTGCCATAGAAGGAGAGTTGTGATGTCGTATCCAGTGAATCAAACCAACTATTTAACTTTTACTAAACTTCCCCGTGTTGCCTTTCGAGGGGTTGACAAGATATGAAGCCGCATCTAAAGCTTTGTGAAACTGTGTGGTGAAGAAATCCAACCTCTGCTTCTGTATGGCGGCTTGGTTTGGGTAGCAATAGCGTAAGAACTGTCTAATTTCAGATAATACTCGCATCTAATTAAAAAAAAAAAAAAAAAAATCCCCCGGACTGTACTTTGAGGCTGAAGTCGTATTTCGCCGCGACTCTTGGCCAAGTGATAACGATTAGCAAAGTGTACGATTTAGTTAGGTGAAGTTTTAAGTAATGCTTTGTATCCTCACCCATAGGGTGGACGTTCCCACGCAACGCACTAAACTGAAATGTATCCTGGTTTGATTTAATTAAATCACAGAATATGACGCATTGGGATCTGCATAACCATCGTATACCCCTTATCGTATTTGTAGGCGACATCCCATGTACACGCTGCTGAAATGCCAAATGGCCCAGAAACCGTGAAGCAGCAATTCGGTAGCCGTGAGACACTTAGACCTTTCGTGGTGCGGCTTGGATCTGTTACCGTCCGTAAGTTGTTGAAAACTCTGAGACTGCTAAAATTTCGCGTATATTTTGCCCAAAATTTGTGCGAAATAATCGCTAGATCACTAGCGGTGTAATTCCAAGATTCCACAATATTATTCATTGGTTTATTACAACGGACTTTTGAACTCTGTCTATTCGCTCCACTAGGCCGTTTTAAACCCACGGACTGGAGTTTGATCTAAATCACTTGGTAAAACTAGTCTTAGCCAGGACGATTCGACTTACATGGCATGTGCTTTGAACGCCTCGAAAAAACGCGATCTAGTTATCCCAGCACGTGCATGATGAAACATGCATACGCATAGGTTATTGCCAACAGGTCACACTGGGATCCATAGGCAGAGAACACTCCCCGACCATGCACAGGTGTTTAGTCCAGGATACTTGGGTCAGACCTAAAGGCAATGTCATCGATTTGCCTTGTGCCTAAACAATTACATCAATAGAACCTAGCTGCGTTGTCGATCAATCGGAAAATTACCATTTCAATCCCCCCCATCGTAGCTGACTCCCCGTTTATCCTCCGTTGTAAAAGAACCAGCTCAGAGCACTCTGGCAACGTTCTTCTACCCCCATGGTCAGTGATAGTACAGATGATGTTTGCAACGCACGAATATATTCTACATCGGGAAATAATCTTCAATTTGATCCAGGGCCTATCCCTCTTAATGAGGGAGGCGTCCGCCTGCAGCATGCTTCTCGCTAGCAATCTACTCATGCGTGCCGCCTCGTCACTGACGCAAGCATGTTCTAGAGGACAACTCCTATATTGTGGGAGATTACAGGCAGCGTAGACCTAGGGATTTTCTGGTGTATCCACTACATGGCACACATTCATCAGGCACCTTGAGACCGCCGGTGCATATGCATACTCTGGGGTACCCCCTGTCACCTGGCGGTAGCCGCCTAGGAAACTACTGTAGCTGAGGTTCCGCACCAAGTGGGCCAGTACGCCCCCAGCTAGCGCCTTTTCACCGTGTAAAGCCCTCATATCAGTATGCCTTCGCACCGATGAATGGAGAGGCATATAATCGATCCACGTCTTATGCAAGTATATAAGCTGGTAGAGATCCGCAGGCATAAATCGCACGATTACCACTCCCTATTAAAAGCACTACATACTGCCAGCTACGTCTAATCACGCAATATCCCATTTAGATTCTATATAGACAGCATCCCTTTCGCATAATGCTTTCCGGCACCGGCTACAAAAACAGAAACTTGACCACGTCTCCCGGACGAATGCCTCTGGCTACCACCAGAAGATCCAATATTTCCAAGGGTTTGAGCGACACTGCTTCAGCATTGTTTGACCGCGAAAACACGCCAGCCATCCTGTATGACGAGTCGTCGCTCACATCTACCGAAGAGGAGAGCCTCGGTCCTGAGTACAACTCCAAAAAGGCCGTCAGAAGCACGACGCAGCGCTTGACCAAAGTGGAGTTGGTGTTGACCCCAGAGGAAATCCGCATTCTTAGGGCCTCCTGGTCCCTGAACGTCACCGACACCGAGGGCTCTGACAATTCCAGCAAGCCAGACACCATTGTAAGACCATCTTCCACCATGTTTGCTTCCACCTACTTCTGGAGACAGGTCTACGAGACCTTGTTGGAGACCAACCCGGAGTTGGAAAGGGTGATCCCTTCGATCCAGCACCAGACCACCTCGTTCGCCGGGATCATGTACACCGCCATCAACAATTTGGAAAACCTATCTGCGATGGACGAGTTCATGGGCAACTTGGGGCGCAGACACGGGAGGGTCTTCAACGTGCAGCCTGCCTACTTTAAGGCTATGGGTGTTGCGCTTATCGAGACCTTCCAGGATCGTTACGGTGAGTCCTTTACCAACGAGATTTCCTCCTTGTGGGCCAGATTATATTGCTTCTTGGCCAACTCGTTGATCCAGGCTTCGTACTATGATCCGGTTTTGTCCCAAGACTTGTTGATCTTCCCAACGTTGTTGAAAAGAGAGTCCACCATGGCTCTGGGAAGCACCGAAATGTTGCACGAGTCCGAGGAAGAACGCGAAAGCGATGATATTGTGAATGTTGCGATGGATGAGTTCACTCAGCGCAAGGCTAGTTCCTACGACAATAAACTGAGCGATATCATGTCCTCGTACGGAAGTCAGACCAAGAGGTTGGGCTCCTTCGCTTCGAGACTTTTCAAGCACAGAACAACGGCCGGTCCTGTCCCTCAGAGAACCGGTTAGACGGCAAGACATTGGTAACAGGCATGGTGCTGTCTGCTGACCTTTTGCACATTGGCTATATATCTTATCGCGTGCTAGCCACACGATTCATTCCTCTTTTTCGGTTTTTGGGTTCTTTCAACTTATACACATTTTACGCTTTTACGTTTGTAGTTTGACGGAGGATCAGACAGCAGAGCTGGGGTTGGTGAGATTGGACTATAATCCAGCTCCACGTCTAAAATCGCATGTATGATGAAAGAGAATAAGTTTTAGAGATAACAAGTTTTAGAGAGCCATGGATTTAGCCCTCAATATTCATGACTCAAGGAATCTGAGGACGGGGACAAACATAACTCCTCCAGTTCAGCCATGAAATTCTTTTTTCGTCTTTCCGATACGGCTTCAATGAGGCGCATCTCATTTCGAGCCAACACTACCCAAAAAAACATCAGGCTGAGACAAGTCTTCTCTGCCGCAAAACGAGCATATCCTGCATCCACCTACACCATCTATTTGGAGGGAACAGAAACCGTAAAACAAAGCGAGACAAGCGATAAGGGCACTTCCAATCCAGGAAATCTTTTAGAGGAAAAGTACTTGGAGCTACACTATAAACTGGTTATACCCGTCTACCAGTACACATACATGGCAATAACAGAGTAATACCTTTGAAGACCACCTGCACCTTGTTTGCATCCGAAGCCGATCACCACTTTTAAATACCAATGAGATATGTTCCACTCCACAGAACGACAGGTTTTGCAGAATAACAAAACCTACCCCAAACGGTCAAAGAACCAGTGGGAGATACCGCCCCCCGCTGCTTTCCGGCTTAAGCAAATCTTGAAAAAAGACCTTTCGGAGGAAAACAACAATGTCCGCGAGGGGTTTGCCAATGTCAGCACCAACTACCGGAAGGATCTTACGGAGGCGTTAGAAGCCCATGGAGCGACCCAGGACGTGATATGCGATACAACCGGAAAGATAATCACCCGAATGAAGGTCATAAATCGCAAGGTTCTGCAGTTGGGCAGTGCACAGCAGCGGAACGTCATGATGCTCGACCGCAGCTTGTGCGACTTGGACGAGGAGCTCGCTAAAACGCTTCTGAACATTCAGAGCGTGGTTGTGTGTCTCCACACACTCGAAGCTGAGTTGGGGCCCGAGGATAGGTTGGGCGTGAGGGGCTCGTTACACAAACAGCAGTTTCCGAAGCTCCATAGGTTAATGATGAAGCAGCACCCCGCAGCAGAGCCTAACGACGAGGAGGCGGAGCTGGATGTATCATTTGCTATGGATGACACTATGAATCGCGAGTTGGAAGACGAGGTGCGAATGCGAATTGAAAGACATGGGAGCGAAACAGAAATACTGGGGCATGGGAGTGACGCGGAAATGAGGTCCAATGAGATTCAAACTACGAAGGGGAATTTTGCCGACGTATCTCAGAGCATCCTGGATACACTCAAAGGTGAACTGGGTTTATCTGAATATAATGAGTCACATCCTGAAGCTACGCGGGATATTGCAGAGCATACGACTCATTCTAAGGGCAGCTTGATTCCTCCGGAGACTGTCGTCTATGCTGAGACTGATAGCATCACCAATCCCGAAACAGTCCCATTGGAAGAAAATGCCAATGACTCAACGGCTGTTGAGCTCGTATCAGTTTTGAATATTCCTAGTCTTGTAGCTCCTCCTGAGGATGCCCCAGCCGTCCTTGAAGGCATCTCCGACGCCTTTCTGACTGGATTATATCCTACAAAACCGCATGCAACCGACAAGGAGCTGGAAAAAGGAGAGGAAATGAATGTGTTCACTCCACCCAACATATTGCCTTCCAGTGACCTGGAAACCGATGCAGATGCCTGTAGCATCCGTACGTTGAACAAACTGGATGCATTTACGATGATATTTTCTGCTTCGCCGCCCGTCTCTAGCGTAGCCTCCACCGATTTGGAGCCTGGAACCACAACCACCGCGACCTCGACAAAAAACATTAGCATAGCTTTTGAAGGGCTAAGCAAAACCGTTGATACCACTTTAGAGGCAGAGACCAAACGTTCAGAGGAACCCGCTCAATCCGAGACGGAACGTAAAATTGTCACCCGGGCATCCGAGCATTCAGTCCGGACAAAACCAGCTCTGCAGAAAGAATGTACCCTGGCTGTCGAGCCACCTTCGCCGTATTTGTCCCCTGACGAAACTACACCAAAACTAGCACCTATTGATACCGATGTCCCCATGGCATCCATCGATCTCATCCCTGCCTTCGACCTCGAGGGCTCACTCAACCTGTACCGGATGTACCAAGAAAAGCAAAAGCACGATGTATTAACCTCATCAGTGTTCAAAAACCCTGTTGCTATGGTTAACAGTAAGGCTGGCCATTCTACCAAAGGTGATGCCACGTTTGCGTTCAACGATACAATCTCCGAGATTAGCCAGTCCAGTGACGATGCGCCTGAGTACGGCGCGCTGGACCATTCCAGTGACTATCTCTTAAAAGCATCACCCACTGTGGTGAGCACTCCTGTTATGGCATCCAACAACCAAGCGAGTGGCTCTAGCTGGCTTAATGCTCGTTTGATGGGTAGCCTGCAACCTGCTCGTGAGGGAACGGTTATTCCTTCCAGGATTATTGTGAAGGATTTGTTCAGCCGGTATAACGCCGCTCTGGAAATAGTGGACCACCAGTCTACAAGGCCCACCACCTCCCACGATACCCCTAATAGTGCAGACTTAGCGTCAGATCACGGTGGCAGTACCGGCCCACTATTTTCGAAAAATTTTAGTGTCAAGAGAAAGGCGAGTGTCGCGTCTGCAATTTCGACCACCACGATAGACGGCGGGATACTGTGTTCGGCTGACAGCTCCATTGCGGAGAGCTTTGCTTCTATATCCAGGGTCCTGTCTGATTTCTCACATGGCCTAGACACCAGCTCGTTGATAGCCAACTTGAGTTCACTTGGCTCCGCTCCAGGTGTTGCCGGTAGAGGCCATGACGAGAGATCAAGTTCTCCGGGCGTGAGAGATTTTCCGGCTCCTGACACCCTTTCCGTCGTAAAACACCGGCAGAAGGTGAGACAGCATTCTAACGTGACGACTGCCTCGGCGAGATCTTTTGGTTCGGCATCGTCTCGTGCGTCTCTGGCGGGCAGTGATTTTGCCGAGAGCCTGCGGTTAGTATTGGGGCTGCGGGCTTCTGGGGCGCTGCCTAATGTGGCCAATCTTGAAAAAGTGTTGAAGCCATAACAGGTGGAATGCCACTAGAGATACAGGTGGAAAGCCACTAGAGATACAGATTTGTATAAAACCATTGGTTGATGTATAGCAACGCTGCATTTAGTTTACGCCTAATTACCAGCCACATTGTAAATCCACGTCCCTAAAGATGTAAGGCACATAGTAGAGATCTGTGAAGCCGGAACGGTTATGCTACATGGCAAGTTTCATAGCAAATATTATACAAGTCACACGAATTCTAATATACACAAGAGCAGCGCGGAACATAAAATAAAAACCAAACATGACATTCCGCCTAAGCTCTTTCCTCAATTTAACGACCATAATACTTCAATTCGGCCCAACGGGTCGCGTTGTAAGCAACAAAGGCAAAACAGGCGCCCAACTCAAAACCAATGTCACCACCGAATTCACCAATCTTTTTGGCAATGACACCGGTGTACCAAACCTGGCCCATACCCAAGACACAGCCAACAACACCGCAGCAGAAGGCAAAGGTACCGGCGATACCGAGGGGTAATCTATCCCACTGGTTGTAGTCGGTTGGGTCGTAGTTAGCAAAGCCCTTACGGTAGATGACGTGTTCAGAGTAGGCAATGGCCTGGTAGATGGCCAAGTAGTAGGCAATCAAGTTCATGAAGTTAGACATGACGTCGGAAAAGTGGTAGTAGGCTGGGATACAGATGGCCAAGGTGACGAAGTTACCACAAATGGTCCAGACCACTCTTGGAACCTTTTCGAAGGACGAGTGGAAAGACTGGGCAGAAAGACCGAGGGAGTACATGTTTGGAATGTTGTTGGCCACAGTGGACATGGCAAGCAAAACACAGACAAACTCGCCAAATTTCCCCAAGGAGTCTTCGACCAAAATAGCGAAAATCAAACCACCGATGGACTGGGTGTCGTACAACTCTTTCCAGCGGGCGCTGGTGTCGATACCCATGACACAGGCGGCACCCAAAATCATGCAGAACCAAGTTGGGATCAAGCACCCGAGAACGACGGAGACGAAAATCTTGAGAGAGCTGGTGTTCTTAGGCATATAGACGGTGTAATCAGCGGCATAGGTGGTCCAGCCGGTAGCGAAACCGAAAATGGCACCGCCGAACGAGAGCACACCACCGGCAGTGGTGGGACCCGAGGTCCATTCACCCTGGGTAAAGTTGCCAGAAATCTTCATGCGCGCAAGGACAATCAAGAAGGAGAAAAGATTTGGCACCCAGGACCACTTTTCGTACATGTGAATAACATTGTAGCCAAAGAAGGTGACAATGATGGTACAGACGACAAGAATCAAACAACCGGCCCAAGGTGGTAACACACCGCCGTTGATGGAGTGCAACAACTGGGCGGAAACCATGATGTTAACGGCACCCCAACCAACACAGGCAATCACATTGATGAAGGCAAAGATACGGGCGGTGAAGTTACCAACAAGAAAACGAGACAAGATCAACTGTCTCAACCCAAACTTGGCCCCGAAAACAGAGAAAAGAGCAACTGGAATAACCCCCAAGATCGAGAAGAAGACAATGGTAAGACAACTGGTCCCGAAGTTCAAGTCCCAGATACCGTGACCCAACGCACCGAGAGAGAAGGTGGCAATGACAAAGTTGGCGGAAAACCACATGGATGCCGCGGTCCAGATCGAAGAATCGATCTTTTCCTCGTCAGGGACGATTTCAACGCCTCTAGTTTCGGCGTGGAACATCTGAGCGACTCTGTCATTGAAAGTGAGTCTGGTCTCGGTGGCAGTAGTGGCATTCACTTCGACGGAAGTCGAATCATTTTCGTACTGGTACGAATTTGGGAGATCCGTCTTTTCGGGGATATACTGTTTCTCCAAATCAGACATGGTGCGGGGATGTGAAAAAATTTGGCGCGATAAAATTCACGAGGCAGTGACTCTAAGAGGCAAAGGCAATCGTTTGGAGGGAAAAGGTACCAGCAGGAAATGGAAAATGTGACAGGTTGAGCTGGCTGGCAGCGAGAGAAAGAAATGAGTACTGATACGCGTTATATACTAAATGCAGATGGCTTGGTGCAATTTAGAAAGTTGACTCTTATCTCTCAAAATTAATTAGCATGGGACCTCAGTCAGGCTTAAAATTTTTACTCCGCGATACCAGCCTGATGTATGGTCGGACATTTCTTTTCACATGCGAGAATTGCTTTTTTTTTCTTACGGCTCTGCATTGTGCAGCACCAAATCAGCTGGAACAAGCATTGAAAAACGGTCTTCAGTTTTCCGCCGAAGCTTCTGCCGCACGCAGAAACCTTGCTTACTGATAAAGGCACCAACCAAGACAAGTAACCCCGATATAACAATAGCTCCGAGACATTGGATAGAGTGTGTGAAACTCAAGCCTCAGAACTTCCGGAGGAGAGGTCTGGCTGCATGGACAAAAAGTTAAAGCAGGCATTGCACCTGACTGGCTGCCATGCTCAAGGTGTTGTTTTACCCTTTGTATTACGCGCCGCAGATGGGACACGAGGCTATAGAGATTAGTGGCAGCTTCTCCGTTAGAGCCATAGATGGGGATATGATAGGCATGGATTTAGGTATATATAGTTCCGATGGGATTGCTATCGATGAAGAAGCCCGCGGGACTGCTCGTCTAACCGCCCGCGGCTAGATAACTGGGGTAAGGTTTCATTTAGAGGATCTTGGCTTAGACGATGGTCCAAGACACTCTGTTCTCCACCTCTTCCTATGGGTTTGATCTATCACTATCACTAGCGTTTCGCAGATCACCGAGTGGTAGAATTGCGGCGGCAACATCGCAATGTTCCGTCCAAGGTTTGGAAGCGAAGCCCTCACTATCAAAGTGATCTGACAACACCGAGTGAGCTAAGTCGTTTTAGATAGCACTCCTGGGCCAAGCCAAGTGGAGGCTAGTGCCACCCGAACCTGAAGCTCGGGGAGATACGGCCTCATAAAAATGACAGCAGTCCCTACATGCCAGGTAAAGCAGTCCATATGACTTAGCTATCGGTTTTCATGCTTAGCCGCGTCATTTACTTCTGTAGTCCAACGTTTCTGGAAGCTCTTTAAACCAATCAATGTGCTATTCAATAGCAACGTGGGCATTTTATCACGTTTCCCTTCGTCCCAGGCTTCAAAAAAAAAAAAAGGTGTGAACCCGTACGAGGCACTGATGACAGCCATTCAAGTCCCAAAATATCGACTCTGGTTCCGTAGTCACGTGGTTGTTTAGGAGATCTGTCGAGAGCTGGATTTCGAAATGTGACACGATCCCGCGGATACGCGCCTAGATACGGCGATGGGCCGCGGAACTATGTGAAGATAACGCATGGCAGTTGTTGTTTCCGGCAGTACATGCAAATGTACCGCAGGAGATGGCATGGTAATCGTTGTCTGAGTTTCACTGAGAAAAAGCGGCCTATACAAATTTTGCATGCTTCTGCAGGCGGCCGATCTGGAAAATATCACTTGCGTCAACAGGGTCAGCTTTGACATGCATAACTGCAACTTGCTGTCTTTACGGGTCACATCCGCAGAAGCGGTGAAGGCTACCGGCTATTTGCCGGAAGGGGGAGTTTATCACCTTGACTGCTAATTTATATAATAAAAAAAACTAAATTTAGCCGGTTTAAAGTAGATGAATGCCGCAGACTGAGCTGGGGCTAACCTAAAGCTTTCAACCCTGGAGAAAGAAAATTGCGTGTGATTTTTGAAATTGTCAGACACCAGAAGATGCTCTTGCAGCCGCTTTTTTCTTGTCTCAGGGCTTCTGGCGCTATCGGTGGCATGACTGAAAGATGGACTCTCTTTTTACATTTTAATGATATGGCTTGTTGTCTCCACGGGTTATGCTCCTTTGGGACGGTAGCCAGGAAATGATGAATAGAAAATTAGCAGCAATCAAACTATCCCCATGATGGTAGGTTGGTTTGTCTTCGAAGCATGTATATGGTTCATTTCGAGGGTTTGATGGCGCGCTATTACTCCAGTGCTATCAGAAAACAAATTGAAGCTTGGGCCTTCGTCCCACCAGGTTATCAGCCCCCTAATGACGGAAACATTTGAGCAGAGGTGAAATAGTTTATAAGCAGTAAATCTCCCCTTATGGTGCTTAAATCTGGTCTTTCAACTGGGATTTCTAAGTCGGTTATAAAAGTGTCGGTGGTGTATATCAACCTGGAAGGCTTGATACGCATGTGAGGGACGGCTGGGAGTACTACAGAGACGATACGTCAATTATGGATTAATTTACCCTCTGAATATGGACTTTGAAATTCGGCTATGCATTAGAAACAGCTTATTTTGGGTCTTGGTAAACAGTTGGATCCCACCCCGAAATCTCATGGGAATCCTTGTCCAAGGTTTTGCGAGCCTCATCGGTAAACTCCCAATCGAAAACGTCCAAGTTTGACGCAATTCTACCTGCAGTTACGGTCTTTGGTAATGGAATGAAACCTTGTTCCAACGACCATCTGATTAAAGTCTGTGCCGGGCTGATAGTCTTACCGGCGTTCTTAGATAACTCGGCGGAAACCTGAGCCAACTCTGG